TTGATGAGTTGTATCAAAGAGATCCCCACTCTAGAAGGTGATAACTATATTGAGTGGAAGAAAAAGATAGACCTGGCTTTCATCCTCGCTGAGGTGGACTGGGTTGTCACCACACCGTGTCCCAAAGAACCTGTGGCACCGGTGAGGGAGACAGATGAGACTGATGCTGCATAGCAGAATAGAGAGCGGGACTTTACTCCCGTAAAGATGTCTTTTGACATTGAAAATAGAAAGTGGGTCACAGCCAATAAAAAATGTTTGGCTGTGATAAAGAATAAAATTGAGCCTGCAATAGTGGGCTCAATTCCAGACTGTGACACGGTCACAGAGTATCTAGAAAGAATAAAGAGTCAGTTCACTGGCTCTTCAAAGACATGCAACCCAGCTGATCAAGCAGCTGGTTACAGAAAAGTACTCTGGTGGCGGCAGTGGCATTAGAGAGCACATACTGAGAATGAGCAATCTAGCGTCTAAGCTCAAACCAATGGATTTGACACTCAAGGATGAGTTTTTTATTCATTTGATTTTTGCTTCTTTGCCCAAAGAATTTGACACCTTTGTTGTTAATTACAACATACAGCCTGAAAAATAGGATTTAGAAAATCTCATAGCCATGTGTGTGCAGGAGGAGAAAAGAATAAAAGTTTCACAGGGTGGTATTGTGAACTACCTAAAAGATAAGAAAAAGAACTATAATAACAGCTCTTCCTCTAAGTCATCTGGAAAGGGTCCCATGCAACAGTCTCAGAACAAGCAATTTCCAGTGGATAAAGATCAGTGTCTCTACTGTAAGAAGACGGGACATTATAAGAAGAATTGTCCCGATTTCCTAAAGATGATAATAAAAAATAAAGGTGAAAACATTATTACGTTCGTAAATGAATCCTTGTATGTCAAGTTTTCAAAATCTACTTGGTGGATTGATTCAGGTGCAACTATTCATGTTGCTAATTCATTACAGGGATTCCGTTCGATGAGAACTTTGCAAAGAAGCGAAAGTTTCATTAAAGTCGCAAATAGAGTACAAGCAGATGTTGAGGCCGTTGGCGATCTTCCACTCGAGCTTGCTGATGGCTTCATACTTTTTCTTAGAGATGTTCTTTATGTACCTTCTTTGCAAAGAAAATTGATTAGTGTATCAAAGTTGGACCATGATGGTTATGATTGCCATTTTAGAAATGGCAAATGTCAGATATTGTTTAATAATAGATGTATTGGTCTTGCCTTCCGACAAGATGAGCTTTATTTGTTATCACTTCGTGAAAATATGAATTTCGTATGTGATGTGAATGAGAATGTATCCTCATCGAACAATGCAAACAGAAAACGAAAGAGAGCTCACGATGCGTTGTCGAAATTATGGCACTGTCGTTTAGGCCATATTTCGAGGGGGAGAATAGAAAGACTAGTTAAGAATGATATTCTTCCTCCATTAGAGCTCTCAGATTTAGAACAATGTAGAGATTGCATAAAAGGAAAGTATGTAAAGAAAATTAAGAAAGATGCCAAACGAAGCGCAGGAATTCTACATATTATTCACACAGATATCCGTGGTCCTTTTCCTGTAAAGAGTGTGGATGGTTTTGATTCATTCATAACATTCACAGATGATTACTCCCGTTATGGCTACATTTATCCAATTAAAGAAAGAACAGAAGCGTTGGATAAATTTAAAATATTTAAAGCAGAAGTTGAAAATCAGCATGATTTAAAGATTAAGATAGTCAGGTCTGACCGTGGGGAGAGTACTACGGTCGGCATACCCCATATAGACAAGTTCCTGGACCTTTTGCAAGGTTCTTACAGGAGAATGGTATAGTCGCCCAGTATTCAATACCGGACGAACCTGAACAGAATGGAGTAGCTAAAAGGTGTAATCGTACCCTGATGGATATGGTGCGTAGTATGATAAGTTACTCCACTTTACCGATGAGTCTGTGGATGGTGGCGTTAAAAACCGCCATTCATATTCTCAATAGAGTACCAAGTAAGTCGGTGCCTAAAACACCGTATGAGTTGTGGACAGGAAGAGTACCCTCACTTAACCACTTGTGTGTGTGGGGGAGCCCTGCAGAGGCTAAAGTTTTTAACCCAAACATTGGGAAGCTAGATCCCAAAATAGTGAGTTGCCATTTCATTGGCTACCCAGAAAAGTCAAAAGGTTTTCGTTTCTACTGTCTAGATAGACATACAAAATTTGTGAAAACGAGACACGCTGTCTTCCTAGAGGTTGAAATGATGAGGGGGAGCATGGTAGCTCGAGAAATTGACCTTGAAGAGAAGCGGGTGTATGCACCCACTCCGATCATTCATGAGCCATTTTTCTCAATACCTGCTGTTGCTGCACCGACAGTACAAGACACTGTGGTGTCAGCACCTGTTGTTATCCCGCCTATGGCAACAATGAATGATGATGAGGAACATGTTCCTCAGGATCCTATTGAAACTATTGCCACACATGAGTGGGAGCAACAACAGCCTCAAACAGAAAATGTGCCAAATGAGGAGGCCCCTAGAAGGTCTAAAAGAGTTAGAAAATCAGCTATTCCTGCTGATTATGAAGTATACAACACTGAAGAATTTCAAATGGAGGATGATCCCACCTTATTTGAAGAAGCCATGAAAAGTGATCATTCATCAAAGTGGCTTGAGGCCATGGAAGATGAAATGAGATCAATGAATGCAAATAAAGTTTGGGATTTGGAGATAATTCCTAAAGGAGCCAAAACAGTAGGCTGTAAATGGGTCTACAAAACAAAACTTGACTCTCAAGGGAATATAGAGAGATATAAAGCCCGACTTGTGGCAAAAGGCTTTACACAAAGAGAAGGGATTGATTACAATGAGACCTTTTCTCCAGTCTCATGTAAGGAATCCTTCAGAATCATAATGGCATTAGTGGCACATTACGATTTAGAATTACATCAGATGGATATAAAGACGACATTTCTCAACAGAGGCTTAGAGGAAAATGTTTACATGGCACAACCGAAAGGTTTTGTCATGGAAGGAAAAGAACGTTTGGGATGCCGCGTAAAGAAATCCATTTATGGATTAAAACAAGCTTCAAGACAATGGTACTTGAAATTTGATCAGACAATAAAGAATTTTGGGTTTAAAGATAATGTTGAGGACAATTGTGTCTACGCAAAGTTTAAGAATATGAAGTTTATCTTCCTTGTCCTGTATGTGGATGATATCTTACTTGCTAGTAGCGATGTCAGTCTACTACTGGAAACAAAGAAGTTTTTGTCCTCAAAATTTGATATAAAAGATCTTGGTGAAGCTTCATTCGTTCTAGGGATCGAGATTCACCGAGATAGAAGTAAAGGGGTATTAGGACTGTCACAAAAAGCATACATAGAAAAAGTCTTAAAGAAATTTTGTATGCATAAATGTAGTCACTCACCTACTCCTATAGTCAAGGGCGACAGATATGGGGATTTTCAATGCCCCAGAAACCAATATGAGATCGATTAAATGAAAGTGGTTCCATATGCTTCAGCTGTCGGAAGCTTGCAATATGCTCAAGTATGCACGCGCCTTGACTTGGCATTTGTTACAGGGTTACTTGACAGATTCCAGAGCAATCCTGGAATAGAACACTAAAAATTAGTAAAGAAAGTCTTGTGTTATTTGCAAGGAACGAAAGGCCTTATGATGACGTATAGAAGATCTGATTCACTCCATATAGTGGGATATTCATATTCTGATTATGCGGGAGATAATAGAAAATCCACGTCTGGATATGTGTTCACTCTCGCAGGGGGAGCTATTTCATGGAAAAGCTCAAAGCAAACCGTCACTATATCGTCCACAATGTATGCCAAGTTTGTAGCGTGTTATGAGGCAACGGGGCAGGTGAACTGGCTAAAGAAGTTCATACCCGGTTTGAAGGTGGTTGACGACATCAATAGACCACTGAAGTTATACTGCGATAATAATCCAGCAGTACAGTATGCTCACAACAATAGGTCAAGTGGTGCTGCAAAACACATTGACATAAAGTATTATGTTGTGAAGGATAAAGTCCAGGATCAAATGATAAGTCTTGAGCGTATAAGTACCGAAAAGATGCTCGCAGATCCGCTTACAAAAGGCTTACCACCCAACGTGTTCAGAGAACATGTAGCCGGCATGGGTTTAAGGGAAAGCCTATGACTCCTGGACTATAAAGGGCCCAAAAGTTAAAGTAACTATTTCAGATCAGAGACGTGCATTGTAGCTGTTAAATCTATCGGTGATTGACCGTGACGATGAAACATGCTCTATGCATCATCTGTGAAGAAATGAGTACGGATAAAAGGATTGAAGTTTAAAGTTTAAAGATAAAAGTAATAGTGTATGATCAAGGGGGAGAATGTTAGATTGATCTCCCAGCCAATAAGCCCAACGGTCTATTGGGCCTTGGTCACGCGCCCTGATCGGGGGCGCCCAACCCTACATGGTTGGTGGACCCCCGTCGCACTGCGCTATATAAAGTGGTGGAGGCCGGCGGCTCGAGGTACGAGGTTCACCGTGAGCCGCAAACCCCACCTACAAACCCTAGACCGATGTGAGAGGGCGCGCAGCCAGCGACGGGAAGCTCCACTCCACTTGGCCGCGTCAATCACTTCGCCACACCGTCCGTCCGTCTTTCGCATCGACGTCTGTGCCACCTCTACTCCATCCGTTGCTGTCCGTGCGCAGACCTTCATCACCGAACCTGAGATGGCCGGCTCCAGTTCATCCGCGACTCCCTCCGAGGGCCCAGGTTCAACACCAACACCTCTCTCTTTATCTCTCTATCTCCACCTTTCGATCTAGATGTACTAGGGCTTATCTAGATTAACTGGTTACCTAAAAGTTCCTCGGTTCTACTCTAGATCGTTTATATGGATATAACAAGTCACCGTCTCATCGGTTTTATGTTGCTCCTGACAGTGGACGTGCTGTAAGAGGCGAAATGGTCCACAACCGTATATGTTGCTCCTGACAGTGGACGTGCTGTAAGAGGCGAAATGGTCCACAACCGTATCATCATGGGACGCTGTTATCTTTGTGACCAGGCAACATGTACAACAGTTTGCTCTAGTCATTGCAGTTCACAGAGTCACAGGTTAGGTGCGTCACTAGGAAGGCCATAGAATTTCTGCTAACAGAGAACCTGATGTGGGGAATAGCTGAATGAATAAGATAACACATAAATACAGTTCAAAACGGAGGAAGACGTGTCCATTTATAACGTGGAGTCCAAACTGCCCATTTGTCCCCGGCGCACCCTCCTTCCGCAGTCCATCCGCACCACACCACGCTTCCCCTGCGGCTCTGCGCCTCTGCCACTCTTCTCTTCTCCTCCTGCAGGGTGCAGGCTGCAGGCCAGTACATGACGACGGGGCCTTGGCGCCGTGGCGGCCGCGCCACGACCACGACGAGCCTCGCGCTCCTCCTGCTGCTCGCGAGCGTCGCCGTCTGCTCCATCCCGGCGGTGCTCGCCCAGGCCACGACATCCACCAGCACCGTCGCCGGCAGGGACTTCACCACCTTCTCCTTCCCCGGGTTCTACGACAAGACCCCCGCCGACCTGACGCTCTCGACCAACGCCAGCGTCAACCAGAAAGCGCTGCAGATCACCCCCGACACGGGCAACAGCGCCACGAGCTTCCTAGTCAACCAGTCAGGTCACGTCTTCTACGCCACGCCGTTCGTGCTCTGGGCCGCCAACGCGTCCAACTCCACCGCCGACGGCCGGCACGTCGCGTCCTTCTCCACGGTGTTCGAGGTCAATCTCTACCGCCAGCACAAGTCCGTCAAGGGCGAAGGGTTCGCGTTCGTTGTCGCGTCCGGCAACGATGGCCCGCCCCCCGGCAGCTACGGCGAGTACCTCGGCCTCACCAACGCCTCCACCGACGGCAACGCCACCAACGGGTTCGTGGCCGTGGAGCTGGACACGGTGAAGCAGTACTACGACCCCGACGATAACCACGTCGGGCTCGATCTCAACGGCGTCCACTCGATCTCCGCCATCCCGCTCGCCCCCTACGGCATCCAGCTCGCTCCCAATCACAGTAGTAGCTCCGGCAACTACATGGTCTGGATCGACTACAACGGCACCACGCGGCATGTGTGGGTGTACATGTCCGCGGACAATACCAAGCCGGACACCGCTGTGCTCAACGCGTCGCTGGACCTCTCCAAGTACCTCCTCAACAACAAGGGCTATTTCGGCTTCTCGGCGTCCACCGGCGTGGACTACCAGCTCAACTGCGTGCTCATGTGGAACATGACGGTGGAAGTGCTCCACGGCGAAAGCGTCCCCAAGAAGCTGTCCGGCTGGAAGCTCGGGCTGGCCATCGGCGTGCCGTGCGCCGCCGCGCTGGCGCTCGGGCTGCTCGCGGGCCTCTACTTGATGAAGAAGAAGCGGAAGAAGCAGGTCGGGGACGACCCGAGCTCGGTGGTGTTCCACAACGCCTTTGACCTGAGGAGCATCCCGGGCGTGCCCAAGGAGTTCGACTACAAGGAGCTGCGGAAAGGGACCAACAGCTTCGACGACAAGATGAAGCTGGGGCAGGGCGGGTACGGCGTGGTGTACCGCGCCACCGTGCCCGGGGACAACGGCCAGAGCATGGAGGTTGCCGTGAAGCAGTTCTCCGGCGCCAACACCAAGGGGCAGGAGGACTTCCTCGCCGAGCTCAGCATCATCAACCGCCTCCGCCACCGGAATCTCGTCAAGCTCGTCGGTAAGAAACTCTTTTGTCCTGCCTTTCCTGCTCATGACATTATTACATCTTATTATATTTTGCTTATATAAAGTTCTTATTATTATCAACTTCGTCTACTCTGCCGTGGCCGTTCTTATCGACAGTAATGTCAAAATTAGTTGGATTTATTTGCTATAGATAGTTCACAAAATATCTGATTTAATATTCCACCAAGCACTTCACTGCAAACGCCAATCCTAAGGCTCTGTTCGGCTGATACGTAAGCCGGCTGAAACTGTTTTTTTTTTTGTTACGAGAGAAAAATACTGTAGATTTTAACTGATAAGCTGATTAATAAATTCAAGACGGTTGATAAGTTCAAGCGAACGGGACCTTTAGTACAGAGACAGCTCCGCTTTGATTTCTTGCTGTGGACCTTTAGTTAAGGATGAAAACGGTCGAACTCGGTCGAAAAACTCCTCAACCGTTTTCTACTTTTACATTTGAAATATGAAAACGAAAGCGAAAGCGGACAAGCTGGACACGAAAACGAACACGAACTTACGGAATATCTAGAATTTCGGAAACGAACCAATTCGAGCGGAATTATGTCGAACACGGTCGGTATGCGAAAATTCAATACGAAATACCGACCCACAGTGCATAGCATTAAACAAGTGTACGATCAAATGCATAACAAGTTCACAACTAACAAGTGCATCATCTAGTTCAAGTGCATAGCATTAAATAAGTGCACGACCAAATACATAATAAGAGAGATGAGGCTGGGCGCTGTCTATAAGAGAGGGCAGCTATCCACCAGTAGAAAGAACGCAACTGCATGGTGAGCAGCCTGTAATTGGGCTGTATGACCTGTGCAGTTGGCCAAATTCGGTTTAAACCTAATTTTGAATTCGGAATATTTCAAATTAAAAGTAGAAAAGTAGAAAATGGTCGAAAAATGTGTAAACCGTTTTCTACTTTTACATTTAAAATACGAAACATCTCAAATACGAAAGCGAAAACGGTAAAATCGGACAAAAAAATACGGATTCGATCGGATTAAATATAGAAAACGATGCGGTTCGATTCGGGATATTTCCGTTCCGTTTTGATCCTTACCATTAGTACAGAGACAGCTCCGCTTTGATTTCTTCAGCTCCGCTTTGATTTCTTGCTGTGGACCTTTAGTACAGAGAGAGCTCCGCTTTGATTTCTTGCTGTGGACGGTTCAGCGAGATTTTTTCCCTTGCAGCGCTTTATCCCTGTCGTTGTTACATCCATTTCCTGGATGGTTGCGTCAATGGAAATGTTGGAAATGAAATGCTTCCGGGGCCATGTTTAGTTCACCCCAAATCTAAATTTTAGCATTATGTAAAAAGAAGATTTTTCGTCACATCAAACTTACAGTACATATATGTAGTACTAAATGTTGACGAAATCAAAAATTAATTACATAGTTTGAATGTACTTTACGTGACGAACGTTTTGAGCCTAATTAGTCAACGATTAGATAATTATTACCAAATACAAACAAAAATATTACACTAGCAGTGTCTACCGGAAATCCGTTGGCGCCAATTCCGTCGGCAACTAAACATTGCCCAAGCTGTCGGATATGTCAAACGCAACCTGTAAAATGTCAGATTTTTCGTATGGCACCAATGGGGAGATAGCTATCCAGGGAGCGACTATTCAACCCTCGTTAGTCTACGTTTATAAAGATTTCAAGCCACCGAAACATGCTCTCGTTATTATAATAAGAATAAAGAATGCTTAGAATCGTACGGCCCAGTTGGCGCCTAGTCACAAAAATCTAGTTTGTGGTGATGGTTTTGGCTGTATATTATTTTAGGGTCTCTTTGGCACGGCTTATGCTAGCTTTGGCTTCATCTATTTTACGTAAATCGAGGCACTGTAGCGTGAAACCGTTTTATAAACCGGGGTTAAAATGAACTGTAAGCCGGGGTTAAAATGAACTAGAAACCAGAAAAAACCAATTTTTCTGACTTCACCGGCTTCAGCCTGTTCGCTTGCTCGTAAATGATCGTAAATTTCCAGGCGGGAACAGTGTTTTTCTCTCACACCAAACCAGCCAGCAGTAAATAATCCACGATACGATACGGCCTTCCGAACAGGCTGTTTGGCTTCACCGGTGAAGCCGTGCTAAAGGGGGTTTTAGTTTGGGCTCTGTGATTGAGCAGTGTACCCGGCCGGATAGCATTTTGACAACGTAAATTTTGACCTGGCTTGCTTCCCACTTGCTCTTAGAGAAAAATATTTGGTAGTTGCTGAACAATATGCCAAGCAAGCACTCACCGACTCTAGTGACCTGGAAATGCTGAAAAACCAGAGGCACAATCGCGGAGGGGGAAATAAATACGTTTTAGTTCATTTCCATCCTTCACGTTTCGAAATCAAAATGAGTAAAACAAGCTTCTGAAACCGACAAACGCTGTTTACGGCGGAAAGTTACTGTTTACGACGGGTTCTACGAGAGAAAAATACTGTTCTCGATGAAAAAAGAAGCGGATAAACCGAGTTTCATGTCAACCGAACAAGGCCAAAGTAATCTGAAATTGGAATGCCACGTTTGTTGCAGGCTGGTGCCATCAGGACGGCGTGCTGCTGCTGGTGTACGACTACATGCCACACGGCAGCCTCGACAGGCACCTCTTCGGCGGCAAGGACGCGCCGACGCTGGACTGGAAGCTGCGCTACAACGTCGTCGCCGGCGTGGCGTCGGCGCTGAACTACCTCCACCACGAGTTCGAGCAGACGGTGATCCACCGCGACATCAAGCCGTCCAACATCATGCTGGACTCGTCGTTCCAGGCCCGGCTCGGCGACTTCGGCCTGGCACGCGCGCTCGAGTCCGACAAGACCTCCTACACGGACAAGCTCGGCGTGCCGGGCACGCTCGGGTACATCGCGCCCGAGTGCTTCCACACGGGGCGGGCCACGCGCGAGTCCGACGTCTTCGGCTTCGGCGCCGTCATCCTGGAGATCGTCTGCGGCCGCCGCATCTCCTGCAGCAACCCGGCCGGGTGCAGCCAGCTGCTGGAGTGGGTGTGGAAGCTCCACGGCGCCGGCCGCGTCCTGGAGGCTGTGGACCCGCGGCTCGCCGCCGGCGGGTACGACGAGGAGGAGGCCGAGCGGCTGCTGCTGCTGGGACTCGCGTGCAGCCACCCGAAGCCGCGGCAGCGGCCCAAGGCGCAGGACATCTTGCAGAACCTGCAGACGCGGTCCGTGCCGCCGCTCCCCGTGCCCATGTCCAAGCCCGTGTTCATGTGGCCTGTGCCGCTCGCCGACAGGGAGGAGGACGAGACACAGACGTCGCACAGCGGGGTCACCAGCTCAGAGGTGACATCATCGTCGAACTACCCTTACACGTGGTCGTCGGGGTATACCACCCAGACATTCCGGGTGAGCAGGGAGGTGCAGGCAGGGCCGTCCCACAAATTTTATGGGCCCTTTGGGCCTGTAAGACACTAAGGGCCCGGCAATGTAATATTTGAATAGGACGATTAAAGTATATAACTTGTAGCATATATTTAATTCTTCTTGAAAAGGTAACAGTACATCAAAGAAGATAAAAAACGGCAAAATAACTATGATGGTTACCTCAAATAAAACTACGGTGCTTCAGTGCTTTTTAAAAAAGCGTCTTCGGGCATTTTCTTGATGCAAAATCTTCAAGAACACTTTCAAGATCAATTGTATCTAAAATATCCTTCTCAATGCTACACATAGCCAAGCCATTTAATCTTTCTTGTAGCATAGTTGACCTCAAACATTTTTTCAGTAGCTTCAATTTGGAGAAGCTTCTTTCAGCTGATGCTACTGTCACTGGAATAGTTAACAGAATCCGATATGCAATAGAGGCATTTGGATAGCAATCTGCAACTTTAACAAAGTGAAGAATCTCAGATGCTGACATCAACTGATCTGGCAAAGTTACTTGCAACACTTTCAACTCAGAGAACAAATCATCTAACTCAACATCAGACTTGTCGTCATGAGAAAAAGTATTCACAAAAGTTGTGCAACGGTCTCGTAGATCACTATGATCCAAGGACTTTAGATTTTCCGAATTGAATAAGAAACCAAATATTTTCTCAAATTCCTTTAGCTGATCAAATCGACTAGTCAATGAAACAATTGCATAATCAACAATAACTAGGAAGTAGTCATCATTGAAGTCATCTATAGCTGACCGTTGTAATTCTTCAGTTTCATCATCTTGTTCATCAAATTGCTTCTTCCTTTTACCTTTACGTTTTGTAGGAAATGTTGGCTGCACATCCAAACTAGATGCAATGGATTTTGCACTCTCAATACTTGCACTTAAGCCTGTGTCTCTATACTTCTTAAAATATGATATGACCCCTTCTATCTGTTTCAAAGTACTATCCAAGCACACAATTGGAGACTGCAACCTTTTGCTCACCATGTTGATAACAGATAAAATATTTTCCCAAATAACCATATCAACTAAAAATTCAAAATTCTCAAGAGTGGTTACCAATGATCCAGCTTCACTCACCGATTTTGGGTTCTCGGTACAAGTTCTTTCCACCTCCTTCAGAGCTGATCTTATTTGAGAAGCTTGATATCTGATAGGTTGCACACTCTTTATTCGACTCTCCCAACGAGTATCAGACAAGGGTTTGACAGTGAACCTCTCAATATGATCCGTTTTATGACACCAAAAAAAGTAATAGCTTTTCTACAGGATTTTGCCATATCACAAAGAACAAGGTTCAGACTATGACATGCACATGGCATATACAATGCTCTTGGATTAATTTCAAGCACACGTGCCTGCACACCTTGATGTTTTCCCTTCATATTGGAACCATTATCATACCCTTGACCTCTCACATCATCAATGTTCAAATCAAGAGACTGCAGTGCATCCAACAGTACATTAAAAAGCCCCAATCTTGATGTGTCATCAACCTTTAAGAACTCTAGAAAAAATTCCTCTACTCTTGGAATGGCACTTGACATATTAACACACCGCACAATTAGTGTCATTTGTTCTTCATGACTCACATCTGGGGTACAATCCAAGATAACAGAGAAGTACTTGGCATCTTTTATGATCTTTAAGATATGTTTTTTCACAGCATCAGCAAGCATAGCAATTAACTCATTCTGTATCCTAGGGCCAAGATAATGATGATAGATTTCATTATTTTGAATGCGGCTAATATGTTCTTGCATGACAGGATCAAATTCAGCAATCATTTCCACTG